AGAGAGAGAGAGAGAGAGAGAGAGAGAGAGAGAGAGAGAGAGAGAGAAATGTAATTTAAAAAATTTAAACAAAGCTAAAACTTTTTAGTTTTGCATTGAGTTTATGTAGAAATTACAAATGTAAAACTGCATGCCAATCATACTGTATCTTTGATTTAGAACGAATATAAAGCTAAAAAGCCACCAGTATCCCCAAGGGTACACTCTGCGGCCGCCTCCGAGTCCTCAGATGTGATGAGCACCAAGATCAACGGGAATGAAAACACTGTGCGCATACCAAACTACCTGGATCAGGAGATAAAGGTGAGAAGCAGGTTTCTTAGATCCTCAGTTTACAAACAGCATGAACACAATCAAACACGCGCGCGCATGAACACACACACAGGTGCGCACACGCTCTCGTACGTGCAGATGCATACACATGTGCACGCATGCATGCACACTCTTATACACGTGCACACACACACACACTCACACACCTGAGAATAGTAAGCAGCAGTGTCACAGGGGTATGACACTGGTTACAAGATGAGAGATTCACTCAGGACTGCCTCCACTGTAAATCATCGCAGAAATAGGTACTTGGCAACCGACAGTACAGCTTCATAACCATGCAACTAGGGTGATTACTATATTCAACTCAGACTTCTTCTAGGGCACATTCATGGTACAGAGAAGAGGCATCCATTGTGCAGAGGGCTTCACTGCAGGGTTGAAGAGTTTGAGAATGCGGAGGTGCCTAGAATTAGCAAAGTAAAAAACGATGAAGAAGTCAATGTGGAAAACAGGCCCCACACATATGCAAAGGGCCCCAGGGAGTCTTTGGGACTACAGAAACCTTTACATGCTCAGAGCCAACTGCAGAGAAGGAAGGAAGGAACAGTTCCTGGGAACTACTGGCTGTCAATCACACATCCCTGAATCTAGAGAGGTGCTTCAATTCCCCAGTAGTCAGAGGAGGCCCAGAAATCTCACACCTGAGGAATGGAGTTACTGTGATACTATAACTGGGGAGAGTAACTGAGCAAGACACGCAAGGTCAACCTTTGGCTTCCACATATATGTGTGCACACACGCCTGGTATCTATCTATCTATCTATCTATCTATCTATCTATCTATCTATCTATCTAAACACAGTGCAACTAAAAGCTATCCAAACTAAAGTAGACATACAAATATAAACAAGCTTTATTGAGCCATGAGAATATATTGAGTATCCTAATATTTGTGTAACAGGAGTCTCAGAAGCAGTACAGATTAGGGCATATAAATTATGAGGAGAGTTAGCCGCTAATATTCTTCTAAAGTTGACAGAAACTTTTACTGAAGAAAGACGAACTCAAGGAAGATCACTCCTAAGCGCTGTAATCCAACTGCTGAAAAACTAGAGAAAGAAGACACATTGCACAGAGTGCTGCTGTGACTGCTGACTTCTCAGTAGGGACCCGCACACCCATGACAGTGGAACACCACCTGTAAAATGTTCTCACGGCAGAGTTCTGTTCTTCAAAAGGGAAGGATGGCGTGACAGGGAAAGACCATAGCTGCAGGGAAATTTGGGGAAAAAAAAAAGACAAGCAAACAAAATCCCCACCCAGATCCTCAAGCCCGGTTTCTCACTAACTCAAGGGGATTCCTGTCTCAATTGCCCAACACTGTATTCATAGAACTGGGGCACCTCTAGCTCAGATTCACATCCTTCTTAGCCACAGGAAGGAGAGGAGCAGCCAAATGGGTGACTACCATGACCAACAGAGTCCTGCTAGAGCCTTCCCCACCCAGCCCCACCTCAAATCTCTAAGGGGTCTACTTCCTGAAATGAGTTGCTCCTCACAGACATTAGAACTGGGTAGATCCAGTATGACTAACAGCATGCCCCAGCCCACGGGGGATTCAATGAGACCCTAGGGAAGGGGGTGAAAAAATGAAGGGACAAGAGACACAAAGAATGAGAGCAAGTCTGGGGTTCTGATCAAGCTCTGAAACTTTAATTTCGGGGACAGGTTATAAAGACACAGCAAAGTGGGAAGTTTGGGCGAAGGTCATTGCTTAGGGCTATCCCACTATTGAATCATAAGACCATCCCACTGTCATATCCTTATTGCCTTAGACCATCCCACTGTCATAACTGGCTCCCAGGGAATGCTAGCTGTTCTTTAAGTTCCTGGGACCTGAGACCCACGAATGTCCTTTTTTAACCTTATATTGACTAGGTTTCCCAGAACAGCAGGTAATTTCCTGGGTTTGGTTCCTGGAAACAGCAAATGTCACTTGTACTGGTGATGGTTTCCGTGACCCCTTTTGCACTGTCTGAAATGGATCCCAGAGGATCATGAACACAGAGTGACTTTTGGGGAGGTGAGATTCTAAAGAAGGAAATTGTGTATCACGTACTTCCTCATGATGTGACTCTAACGTTCCCTGTCAGATCCTGGCAAAGCTCTGTGACATTCTACATACTGATTCTCTGGCAGAGGTTCTGGACTGGCTGCTTCAAGCGAGTACCAAAGGTGAGGTTAAGACAAGCATTTGTGGGACCTCAGGTTAACGTCAGATGACAAATATGCCAAACTGAAGCTTTCTACTTGCCATTTGCAAATAAATATTGCAGAAATTATTTACCCAGAGCTCCTTACCAGAGTCCTTGGAGGCCTGTCTGCTGGCTATTCAGGTAATCTATGGAGTGTATCTCAAACTGAATTCATTAGAGGAATAGGAAACATGTATTCTCAGCTAAGGCTAGTTTCTGCATCTCCTCCATGCTGTGTGAAACCCCAGAGCTCTCCATGAATACATCCCCGGGCCTGCTGTGAGGTCGGAACACAGGCTTGCTTGCTTCCTTTGGTGTGGACGGCAGCAGCATGGCCTTCCACGTTTCAGACTCCTAATGCGTATGATCACTTAATCTTAGCTAACGACAGAGCTGTCTCTTGGCCTCCTTTGGGCTTTCCCTGGTACCTGACATGAAAGCACCATTCCCAAGCAGGGCCATCCACTAAGCACACAGCAGATATCCTCAAACTAGCTGATCATCGAACTGAGCCAAAACCTCCTACAGGGCCTCCGAGACTCTGCTTTGGTAACACGTTCCCGGGTGATGCTGACAGGTGATGTGGGTCTGGAGGACATGCTTGAGAATGGGGAACATTTTGGAAAAATAATGCCTTTTAATTGGAAAGTGCTTGGGAGCAATTTTCTTTTCTTCTTCTTCTTCTTCTTCTTCTTCTTCTTCTTCTTCTTCTTCTTCTTCTTCTTCTTCTTCTCTTTGGAGGGGCGGAGGCTTTTAAAAGACTGTGACATTTAATAAATTACCCAAATAATAACTCCTAATTTTATTTTTTTTATTTATTTTATTTTTTTAAATAATTTATTTTTTTTTTCCAAATCGTAATTCATTCACACAGGGGTTATAAACACAGAAAGGCAGGACGTGGGGAAGGGGATGACACTGGAGTGTGGGTGTTCAGGGGGAATACAGATATCTTTCAGAACAGGGTATCGGCTGGGTGAGGGTTCAGGGGACAGGTCACTATGACTCTGCCTATGACTCACTTGTCCTTATCTAAGTTGGTATTGTCTGCCAAGGCTACCTATTTACAAGGTCTATGACTACTCAGGCTGGTAACTCCTAATTTTAAAAATATATGTATGTGTGTGTGGCGGGGTGAGGATTTTGGATTTTGTGTGCATCCCTGCAGAGGGCACAGTGGAGATTGAAATGACATAGATGCATGCCGATGATGTGCTTAGTCAATACGACAATAACGGCAGTAACCCATGCTCTCCAACCTTTTCCTTTTTTTCCCTGCCCCCAAATCAGAAAAGGAATGGGTATCAGCTCTGGTTCATTCTGAGCTAGCTGAGGTAAACCTGTTGACTCGCCAGAGAACAAACACCCCCACAGAACCAGCTGCAGAGCCCAGGAAGCCGCCCACTTCTGTAACACCCGCCACAACCAAACTGCTGCAAAACTCACGTCCAAAACTGAAAGCGCTGACTGGATCTAGAGAACATCAGCTACTCAGGTGATTAAACACAGAAACCACCAGGTGATTAAGTACAGAAGCCACCCATATGATCTAGAAGCCCCCAGGGCATTTCTGTAACATAAAAACTTTACATTTCCTTGTTTTCTCTTTCAACCAGCTGAGGTTTTAAGTCGCAACTCTACCTAGCAAGTGACCGCACATATGTAATTGTTTTCTTTCATTTTCACACATAGTAACAAAGTTGTGATTGGTTCAACTGTTTAGAACATTTTGTTTGGCAAAGGCTGTGTTCTCTAGTTAATAATCATTCTTTTTTGAGGAAAATGCCCTTTCCACTAAGTAAGACTAGACATCTAGAAATCCAGGAAAAAATAAGGTGTTTTAAGGTTATTTTTAAATGAGTGTGTGTGTGTGTGTGTGTACATGCACAAACATGAGTGCAGTGTCCAGAGAGGCCAGAAGAGGGCATCAGCTGAGTCATAGACAGCTGTGAGCCTCTTAGTGTGGGTGCTGAGAACTAAAATTGGGTCCTCTATAAGTCTGTGAGCTTTCTTAACCACTGAACTATCTTTCCAGCCCCAAGGACTTTAAAACGGTTTAAATATGCAAACCATAACAGAAATTGAAACTATTATTAGTGTTATGCATATTCTGTTTAAATGCTACTATTACACAGGAATGATTTTAATGTAAAGCACTGAAGGTGAAAAATAAATTGCTTCAAATGATGCCACTGATATATCCCCAGGACGTTCCAGAGGGAGAAAGTAATTACTAAGCCATTTGGAAACTATTTTAAAAAAATATAAAAATATATATCTTAAAAAATATATCTTAAGGGGGCTGGAGAGATGGCTCAGTGGTTAAGAGCACTGACTTCTCTTCCAGAGGTCCAGAGTTCAAATCCCAGCAACCACATGGTGGCTCACAACCATCCATAGTGAGATTGGATGCCCTCTTCTGGTGTGTCCGAAGACAGCTACAGTGTACTCATAATAAAATAAATAAATAAATCTTTAAAAAAATATATATCTTAAACCATACAGATGTCATAAAAGAAGAAACAGAGCTGGGTGTGGTGGTACACATCTGTAATCTCAGCTCTGAGGCGATGAAGCAAGAGTTTTGCAAATTTAAAGCTAGCATGCAAGACCCTGTCTCAGAAACAACACAAACAACAAACAAAAGAAACACACATATATATATTTATGTATAACATGTTGAAGGAATATGTATTAGGCTGGGAGAGACAATTTTTTAGTTTAAAATTGAAAGTCTAAAAGTTGGGTCAAATGTGAAGTCACAGAAATAATACGATAGAAACAGTATGTTACTTTGAAAAGTATACATTCTAACTTGTCTGCACCATTACATTTCCATAGAGTCAGAAAGTAGGATATGGTAAGGGCTGATCCCTTATTGAGTGGCTTATTATAATCCTGCTAGATATTTGCTCAAGGTAAGCTGTCACTGGTTAAGTATTTACAGCAAGCATTGGGGATAGTGTGTTTAAGGTAGCCCTTATTAGCTTGGTGACGCTATACGTCTAGTGCTATCTCTCAAATTGTTTTTCTTTCTCCCATTGATTTAGAATCTCAAGTCAAGGATCCGAAGGAAACAAGCCAGTATCACAAGGTTAAGTATAGTTTGTGGTTATTGCAGATGGTATAAGGAAATCAGTAGGTGCTAAAGATCTATGCTTTTAAAGGAAAACCAGTAAGGTTTGAGAGTGGCTTCTAGCTCCAATTCTTTAGAAATGTATCTGCTCAGTTTTGCATTGAGATAAATCTGACAGAAATGTGTCTTTGGGGACAAAACACCCTGAAAACACAGACGTAGGAGGTGCAAGTGGCTACATCCATGCACTGGACAGGCTCACTGACCCACACAGACACAGCAATTTCATAGGTTAATTCTGTACAGCTTAGCTGTCATGGACCTTAATGATTTCACCGTAAAGAAAATCAGCCGGAGAAAAGAATGCAGTCACAGCTATGCCAAACAGGTACCCGTGAGGCAGCTGGGAAATAACGTGCCCAAATTAGTAGCCCTGTACCAGCTTGCAGTGTAGGCTAGGGAAACTCAGTGGTCCTAGGAAGCCCTACATTGGTCCTCAATAGTCCAACAGTGGCCTCTCTGGAGGATAACAGAGCAACTGTCAGGTATATTCATAGGCCTCAAATTTAAAAAAAAAAAAATTGCCTTGCTTCTCCAAGTTTCTCTTAACTAAGAATGAGAGGTATATCCAGTAGAATTTCTTCTACACCTCATCATTTGTCTATGGAGTTCATCAAACTCCAACGTGGCTCTAAAACGTTAGCAGCAAGTATAGCTAGAATTGGAAAGCCAACCCTGCCTCTTTCTACCTGACCTCTCCTCCGATTCCTCACTGGAGGACAATAGTTATTACGTGATGGTTTCTATTCACTGTATGTCTCCCTGACAGCCCACACATAGATTTAACCCACCTAGATACATAAACTTAAGTAAGAATCTCCAGATCCTGCTACTTCTCTCCACAGTTGGCATTCATTGTCTCCAAACCTGCACTGGGTTAGGTATGGTCGTGTAGGCTTTCGGGTCTAAAGAGTGCGGTTAGATTGTTCTAAGATGCTTGACTGTGCTCTTGTTTCACCTGTTGGGATAACAGGTCCTTTTATCATACTGGTCCAATCATTGCCCCAAAACCTTCACACATCACCAACTCTAAATCATTCCCACCAACATCTCTAAGATAGAGTATGTTAGCACAAAATCTCACTGAAGGAGAAGAGCATGGTAAAGATGAATAGACTTATGACTCTCGAGTGGTTTTGAGTCATCTAAACTCAATGTTTCTTTTGTTCTTGACCCATGCCATTCAATAATAAAACAAGGGAGAGGTTATATTGAGTCTTTTTACTATGATCTTATTTGGATTTTTTTTCTATTTCAGGGGCCGAGACCCCATTGTTTATAAGAAGAAATGAGAAGAAAATACCTGTTACAGAATATTTCAGCAGTCCAAAGCCTCCTTTCAGGTCCAACACTCAGGAGAGCAGATCAGCAAAACCAGGGTCAGCAAGGAGTGTGCAAAGCTACAGCCCTCAGAGAACATTCTATCCCTAACACATCAAAGGTAGAAGTGAACACGGGGTGGTTCTTTCACAAAGATGGGCTTCACACTGACAGAACATCAAAGAAGTTTTAGAAATAACCAGTCCTCTATGTGGTGACACATGTAAGTCTCAAAAACACGTACATATAACGCTAGAAATAAATATTAATAAAGACTATCTCTATTTGTAATTAGTATTAATACTTGTAGAATAAATATGCTTATTTAAATGTTATTTCCTCTCTTGTACTAATAGTATGTGTACTTAAACATTGGGCCTAGACCAAAAAACCATCCATAATCAGAATTAAGTGCTGAATCCAAACTCAGAGTTGGGGAAAAAACTGCTTGAGAATGTTAATATTTTTGCCAATGTTGGCAACTTTCAATGTTTCCATGTTTAGGGACCATTATGGAGAAATTCTCATCTCCCCTACAAAAAGAAAAAATGTAAAAGTTATCTGTAATTCATGAGCCAGAAAGGAGTTTATTTTCACTCAGCACTAATAGTGGATGTTAATTTAATATAGAATCTGTGTGTGTGTGTGTGTTTGTGTGTATAATTAACTATTCTTGGGACACAACTATTATTCTTTTAGTATAAGGTTCTAAACATGCTGTGGTTCAAGAGTGACAGGGTTTATTTCTTAATATAAGAGTCCAAGACTCATGTTCATACTTAGTGGGTACTGATATGTTTATAAAAAGATGGAGAGAGAGGGAGTATGTTGGAGGAGGTGTGGTCTGGTATGGGGGAAGGGGGTGTCTCCATGGGCCCATGCTGAGGCATCCCTTCCCCCTGAGGGACCAGCCACACAATGGTATAATATAGAATATAGTTTATTCAGGGCATGGAGAGGGGAGTTAAGAAGGTAGAAGAAGCAGAGAAAGGCGGGGGGGGGGGG